AATCTGTCAATGTCATTGATAAGGTGAATGAAAATTCATTTGTTTTACAAGCTCCTAATGGTGGTATATATCGACGTAACAGGCGTCATATTCTCAAAACAAAAGAGCCCAATGTTCCTCATGACACTGACCCACAAGTGCCTATTTGCACTGAGAATCTGGTTAATAAATCCAGTGATCTTAAAATTCTAGCAGATCACCCAAAGCCTGCTGTAAATGCCCCAGTTAAGTCCCCAGTTAAAGTCAAATCAACCCCTCAGACAGATGAATGTCATTCGCCCCAGCCCTATGTAACACGAGCTGGCAGAGTTTGCAAACAAAAAATTATAGAATCTATGTAATTTTTGCAAAGTGATATAGAAGACTTTAGAGGAAATTACCCTTGGACAAAAGGATATGAACTTAACTTTATCAAGAATTTTTTCAATGACAATATATGTTCACTATTGGATACACATATCTGACAGGCAGGATTAACATGCACATATTGCCAGTGCAGGGATAATCACAAAGACTATGACTGTTAACACCCATGACATTTGATTGAAGAAAGGGAGATGTAACATTATCTTCTTGTTTTTGGTAAATGTCATCAAAGTTCACAAGCTTCCATTAGTGGCATTCTTTGAATGACCCTTGGTCACCTACAGATTACACTTGATGACAGTTCTCAGCCATTGTTAAAGTAAACAGGTGTTCCTCATACTTTTTAATGTACATGTATATACAAGCCTATCACTTCATAATAAACTTTCGTAGAAGTCAGACGCATTGTTGTTGTCTCTCTCCTGAATAGAGTCCGGCACGTTGGACTCAGTAAAGAGCCATCTTATTACACAGTGGACATTTTCTGGGAAATAGAACTGTTCATTTGACCTCCCCCCACCCCCCCCCCTGCAGACCTGAAATTCTTTTGTGCCGTCCCTCTCTGCAGTATCAGTATGTTTACAGACCTGTAATATATACTTACCTTGATAGCCAGTGGTAGTTTATCTTCTGTGCTGTCCCTCTCTGCAGTATCAATATGTTTACAGACCTGTAATATATACTTACCTTGATAGCCAGTGGTAGTTTATCTTCTGTGCCGTACCTCTGTGCAGTATCAATATGTCTGTAGCCGCAGTTTTTCAGGGCATACACCACAGCAGAATGGCTGTAACCACCCAAATGTGAGGTGCCTGAAATTATCAAGTTAGTTATTATGGCAATAAAGAGAGAGGTACAGAGTAATTTACACATGGCAATATAGTAGTGACATTCATCACTCTTGGCTTCAAAATCTTGCCGTAGAATGTGCTCAATGTAATAATTTTTACTGAGCACTAAAATGTGTACAAGTTACATTTTACAGGCTCTCTACTCTAATCATAACAACTTTATAACAACTACAAAAATCTATACAAATACTTATATATTGATTACTGGGAAGGAGCTCAGGATAATACGATTAATGCTATTGATGGGTGTATCATTTGTTCAAACTTTCAGTTATGTATCTGGGGTAGCGATAACACTCGCCAATTTAGCCAAATGCAAAAACTGACTTAAATTGGCTAAACAAAAAGGGCGTGATTCAAATAATTTTATTCAAATTAAAAGCATTTGGATAACAAACTGACAAAAAAGTGGTGATTTGGCTTAGGGAAAAAATGCTAGCGCTACCCCAGTGTATACTGAACAGCTGGACTTTTTCATGATCTGTTTTCTGACTGAATGTGAGACTTCTCTATTTATAAAATTACCGGTACATGTCAAAAAGATGAATTCGTCTGCAAAAATTCATGTGTGGTTGAATCACTACAGATTACCATGTACGGCGGATAATCTCACTTACCAAGCCCGAAAATGGGCATATGCAGCCCATTGGAAAGTACCACAGTTTTGGTCAAGGCGCTCATCACGTCTGCATTATCAGGGTATATCAGCATTGACGTGGGACTGCCCCTGTCAGCATGGGAGGTTAATACCGCTCAATATGATTCAACAATATTGAAATCGAGGTTAATGTTTGGATAGTCAATAAAGTGCAAAGGGTGCAAAGAAAAGCAAAAAAAATGTAGAGAAATTATCGCAGTGGCTTTAAAATTTATACAATAACAGCTTTTGATAAAACATTTTAAATGTATAAGCTGACAAATCAGTTCCAAAGGACAAAGTGATTATCAGAATGCTACAAAAACGATGTGAAGTTTATATTAGCTTGTCTTGAAAACTACTGACACCTTCATTTATGGCAGTCTTGACGAGCGCCAAAGTTGATTGATGTTTATAATGTAACTCTGGCATTATTTAATCTTTTGTTTCCGTTTTTCATGATGGGGTCTTCTGCAGTTGAAAAACTGTTCTCTCGGCCTCTTCCTGTCACGGCGAAGTTTGCAGAGCGGGAAGAGAGGTAATGGTAGCTGTGAACTTCTCACTTGACATTTGTCATGGGTTGAACGGATCGCTATGTTAGATCATAGACGAACCTTTACATAGAACAAAGACCCAAATAAAGTAAACATGCAAGGTCGTTACTCTTCTATGTAATGTTGAAATGACAGTCAAAGTTGAAACGTAACATTTACGATGACAGTGCGATTGCTAGTAGCGCAGTAACAGAATAACTTTTCGTCTTTAAACCAAAGACACTCACGGTTGCGTTATTTTGAATAATCACTGTCAATGTTATTATTAAATAGATGTTTATCGCCATTTTAGGAAGCAGACAGTACTGATAACCCTTGAGATGCATTCTATCACATCACCAATACATACCAAGGTAAAATCTTTTTGATTAGGCATTGCCTGTAAAGGGAATTAATAGACTGAAAAGATTATTTTGAAGCATATGCTTCAATTGAAATTTAAACCATACTTCCAACACTATATTCATTTTGCTGACCTCCAAAGTGTTGATAACTTTCCAGTTGATACATTGAAATTCTAGCTCTGGCACATTTTCTGTCGAGTGTCACTTTTTTCAGAGTGTCACTGTTGATTTTATGAGCATGTTTACGTTCTCCGTAGGAGCTGGTTGTCCGTCTTACAGATGAAACTGACCTCTTTTTCTTGTACACACTACGGTTGAATGAAGAAGACTTTCAGAGGTAATGTGCACATTGTTATGGGACCCTTTTTATTTTATTTCATTTATTTATTTATCATTATTATTATTATTATTATTTTGGTAATGTTTGTAAAAAGAAGTCATCAAAGTCAAAAGCATTTTTATTATTTAAAGCATCTGTCAGTGCGAGAAATTTAGGTGTGTTTTTTGATTCAGCTGGGATCTTTGACAAGCATATAGACAATGTTTGTAAGTCGGCATCTTTTTCACTGTGGAGAATAGGAAGATTCGGAATTTACTAAATATAGAAACAACTACAAAACTAGTTCATGCTTTTATTACATCAAAACTAGATTATTGCAACAGTATTCTTTTTGGGGTGAGTGACAGCAAATTGAAAAAAATCCAATTGATTCAAAATTCAGCGGCCAGATTAGCTAAAAAGATAAGGAACCAGAGCTTGGATCATATCACTCCACTGTTAAAGGAATTGCATTGGCTGCCAGGCAAACAAAGAATTTTATTCAAAGTGTTGTGCATAATTTTTAGAGCTTTTATAGAAAACACACCTGGTTATATTGCACATCTTANAAATGTTAAAGTATTTTAGTATTGTTATTTTTAGACTTTTTTTTTTAATTATTTGTAAAGTGCATTGAAATGTAAAAAGTGGAATGCGCTATATAAGAAATAAATATTATTATTATTATTATTGGTGTGAAGTGAATTGTATTGGTCATTGTTTGAATGTTGACATTCCATATTGCAGCCTAAAGGTACAGCAGGGCCTACTGGTGGACTTCAGTGCCTTTCCTCAGAGATTTGTGGATCTTCTGGAACTATGTCTGCAGGAACAGCACAAAGAATCACCAAAGTAAGGTTTTACATACGGCAAGCTTACACTATATTAATATGGTAATTTGGAAATTTAAATACATTAAAGAGATAATAACTCTTCGTTTTGGCCAAAAAATGAATTTTCCTGGAGTAAACAACAATTTTCCCATACTTACCAATGGTTAATGAATCCATTTTTACATTCAAAGTTACTCCCTGTTTTTTTTCTAAAAAGTTTGTTTTTTTGTTACAATCTCTTAAGAGATTATAACAGAGTATATCCATCTATGGAGGTCACGTGGTCTAAAGACAAGCTCAGATGTAAGAAAAATAGCAATAACTGCCGTTTTTTATGGTAAAACAGAATATATTATATTTCTATGAGTTGTTCACAATGATTTTATTGTGAAATATAGAACTCACACGAAGAGTTATCCCTTTAATTTTGTAGCATAGCTAAAAGTCTGCATCCTTATCTATCAATTGACATAGGCTGAATGGTGGCTTGTCACTTTTTTTTTTTGGGGGGGGGGGGTCTAGAAGATGTATGTACCAGTTACATTATAATTCTAACATGAAACACTGTGTACGTTGTATGGAAAGATCTGCCTTGCATCTACCCATTTACATGAAGAGGAGTAAATAATTAAGCGATATAGAAAAGATTTAATGTCTTGTGGTTGTTGGTTTTTGGAAATTTGTTTATCCAGGAAGCAATGTGTTTGCA